GATAAATTAGTTCTCCAGCTTTAATTCCAGGAGATACAGAAAAACTGCGGAGAGAGAGAGGAATTCACAGAAATGCTTGTGAAGGCCAAGGCTCACACCCTTTGGAGTGAGGTGTCCGCTTGCTCAGCCCTGCCTGGGGCAGGGGGGCATTCTTGGGTGGCATTTGGAGCAGGCAAGACGCAAGGCCACGTCCCTCCCGCGGGAAGCATGTTGGGCCCTGGCTCTGACTTCTGGCTATAGCACTTGCTTCCTGTGGTCCCTCTGACAGCAACGTCCAGGTAGTGATCACTGCCATCTGTGACGTTTAGAACCTCGAGTCCCTCACAAGCACACGACGAAAGGTCTTTCTCTGTCGCCCTTCTGCCTTAGAGGCAGGAGTGTGCCTGAGAGTTAGGCATTCATCCGTTCAAGCCAAAGTGTGGAAGCCCTACTGTGTTCCAGCCAGAGTCCCAGGTGTTGAGACGGGATCAGGGCCAGCCCTGCCTTTCTGGTGCTGGCAGTGGACGAGCAGTCCTGCCCTCCAGCCCCGGGTTTCACCTTCTAGCCCTGGATCCGATAGATGATAATCTTTATGTTCTATAGTTTTGCTGACTAATTCTTGTAAGCAGGTCACCAGGCCTTTCTTCCTAGCCTGGCTTAGGCTGGAAGCTCTGCTGAGGCCTGTCCACCATGGCTGACCTGCTGGTATTTGAAGTACCAGCAACGTCTAAGCCATCAGTTTTCAACCTGTGGGTCATGACCCCTTTGGGGGTCGAACAACCCTTTCACAGGAGTCGCCTGATTCCTAACTAGCAAAATGACAGTGATGTAGTAGCAACAGGAATAATTTTATGGTTGGGAAGTCACCACAACATAAGGGACTATATTAAAGGGTCACGGCATTAGGAAGGTTGAGAAGCACTGATCTAAGCCATCGCAGTATGACCCCCTGGCAGGAGTGGTGGGTATAAAGGGTGACTGGGAGGTTTAACTAAGGAGGCCTGGACATCATGGGTTGTAACTGCAAGGCCTGCAGTCTGAGGACACGAGCGGCTCCTTGGGAGAAAAGACAAGGCTTTCTGCTCCCTTCTGGTTCTAATCTTGGAAACCCACCCAGGCAGCTTTCTGTCCTATGGCGTCACTGTGACTGGCATCTACTTGAGGGCAAATCCTTTGTTCAGCTGTTTAACTATAGGTACATGCCTCCTGGCAATCATGCCCAAGGCTCTGGGAGCCGCTGACTCTTCCCGGCACTCAGCTCCATTCCGGTGCTGATGCCCCAGCTCGGAACCATCCCGAGGATGGCACTTCTGGTCTTGCTCCTGCGCACGGTGATCCTGATCCTCAGGGCTTTCTGCTGAGAAAGAAAGTGACTGGCTGTAGTCCCATGAGTCTGGTCCTACAGGGAGCATCTTCCTTTCATTTCCAGATGGAACGCAAGCATGGCTTTCCTGCGAAGCTCCGTTGGAGAGCCTGGCCAGGCAGGAAGAGCACCTGCCTGTGCTTTGTTAGCTGGCCGCTCTTGTGGACAGGTTAGCCTCCTGGAGCAGGCCAGCTCCATCCCGTGAGCTCTAAGACCCTCTTTTCAGGGGCCCACAGATGGGTTGCTCCCCAGGATGCCGCAGTCCTGCCTCAGGCCCTCCGGGCTGGGGTGGGGAGTGGGGCGCCTGCGTCTTGGCTCCGCTGCCAGTAATGTTAATAAAGTTGAGCTGTCTTTTCCCACCGTGCTCCGCATCTGTCTTCATTGAAGCATGCTCTTGGTAATTTCATTGTGGGGTTTTCCATTAAAAAGTTTGATTAATTCCATAAATATTAAAATAAGACAGATAATTAGAATCCAGGTACTCACGGTTACACAAAGCAGTAAAGTCTGTGCTAAATTATTATTATTAATAATCAGCACTCGCCTCATGCTGGTACTGAGTGCACAGGGAAGAGGGTCCACGGTTGTCGTCATCGGTACAGGCTAGGCTCGCGGCTGCAGTGGTCTCCAGGCGTGGGACCGGAAGCCAGTGTGACTGGGTAATGGGACTACAACTTGAGGTCATTCTCACTGCCATGGAGTCGACGATGACCCATAATGACCCTTCAGCACAGGGCAAAACTGCCCCTGAACATTTCCGAGACTGAGACTCTCTACGGGAGTAGAAAGCCTCCTCTTTCTTCCCGGGAGTGGCTGATGATTTCCAACCGCTGACCTGGGAGGTAGCAGCCCAACGTGTCACCAATAGCCACGCAGAGCTAACGCTTGACCACAGCCTCTGAGCCTGAGTGCTGACCTGCCTGAGACCCACCGCCGTGGAGTCCCTGCCAGCTGGCGGCAATCCTATCAACCAGAGTAGAACCTCACATCAGGGTTTCCCAGGCTGAAACTGTTACAGGTACAGATGGCCTCTTCTCTCTCCAGCAGAGCTGCTCGTGGGTTCGAACAGCCGACCTTGCGATTAGCACAGGGCCGTGCGTTAACCACAATACCACCAGGGAGCCGTCATTCTCCCGAAGAATCTTCTGCTTCTTGTCCCAGGAGGCAGTGTCTTTGAGTGTCCCTGGCCAATTTCCTCTTGTGTGAGGAGGCTGTCTGCCAGCCCTTAGCTCTCTAGCTCAAGGGCTGATGGGAAAGGGGGAGGAGGATTGGGTCCCGTGGGTGTTTGCCGGAGAGCTGGAGCTGAATAATGGGTGTCTTCGACCCGCGGTATAAATCATGTGGACAAGTTTAAACTATGAATCATTAAGGTAGAAGGGTGGGTATACCAAATCAATAAAAAGCGAAGTTAGGGGAAAAGCTCTCGTCACACTTAAGTGAAAGCACCTATTTTGTTGTGTTCGGTCACAACGGTAATTGTCTCACTAATCACTTTGTGGTGGATTCCCAAAGTGGCCACCCCAGGAGAATGGGCGGGCAGGGGGATGCAGGGAGGGGCGGGAAGGCTTGCTCTTATTTTTAACCAGAGGAACAAGTCAGCTATACAGAACACCTTTCTTTCCTTTTTTTTTAAGCACTTGTTCAAAAAAGCCTTCTCAGCTCTAGGTGAGGGAATGGAGTGGCTGGCTCTTGTTGCCTGGGCCCCAGGCTGGAGGTCCCTGTTGGCTGGGGTCTGAGACTGGAGCCCGGTCCAGGCCAGGCCTGATGGAGGGGCGACTGCTCCCACACCCTCACAGTCAACTCTGCAGAGGCTGAGGGAGGCGGCACCTACTCGGAAGACACCAGGTCTTCTGGCCAAGAGTAAAGACAGGCAGGGCGGTGCTGTAGACCCGCATCTGGTGTGGGAGTTCTGGGGGTCGGGATGGAAACTCGGAGCAGCGGGGAGACAGTGTTGGCTTGAAGAAGGCAGATTGCAAAAGCAGGCGGGAATCCCAGGCCTGGGCTCCCCCGGGGAAGAGGCCGCAAAAGCAAAGGGAAGGCATGGATCGATCCTCTCCTCATGTGATACTTGCTTCATCAAGGAAGTTTTTATGCAATAGTTTAGGTTTGCGGGTAACATTTGGGGTGGGGGCGGGGCAGAAGATTGCAGATCGAATTGGTTTTCCATTCGACAATTCGTATACATTTTATTTGGTGACACGAGACCTCACCCTGTAACGACACTCTAGCGATGGCCTCCTGGTGTTGACTGTTTCCGTTTGTCCCTTTTGTCCGGGCCCTCCCTGCCTTCTGAGTTTTATCCCTGGGCACATGCTGCCGCGGAGGGAGACCTCACATGACTGACTGGTCTACGGCGTGTGCGCCGTGCTGGTCGTGGTGCTCACACCTCCCTGGTGTGATGGTCACTGAATAAATCGCCTGCTTGTTGCTTGACTGAAAGTTGAACCAAGAGGGTGACGTTGGTTCTGGGCTTAAAGACTGCCTAAGGCAGAGGAAAGGAGCCTTTTTTCTGCCAAGGGCCATTTAGATATTTATAAAATAATTCTAGAGCCATACAACATTATCAACCTTAAAA